AACACACAGCTAGATTCTGGACAATTACTTCCTCAGCCCATCCTCGAGCAGCATAAAAAGAAATCAAGAGCAGGGAAAGAGAAGTCTGCCAGAGCTCAGAGATGTCTCAGTAGCTCAGAGACAGGGCTGTGATTTGGAACGTTGATTATCACACTTGTGCTTCCACACTGAATAGAGAACTCATAATTGAAGAGATTACCTTGTAGATGATGATAAGAGCACATTTTCTTCTTCTGCAGACAACATTTGTGCTGTGGCGGCCATTATGGCTGCTGCTTTTATCAGTGATTTAGAATGGAGCTGTCAAAAACTTTAAAATGCTTCTATTAAAGTAATATGGTTTTATCTATATAAAACCTGTGAGATTTCTCAGGGAAGCCAGGTTTGGCCTCCTTTTCTAATAAGAGTACACAGCTGCGCCATAGGGCAGGGAGTTTCCCAGCCTTCAAGGAAGTCAGGCATCTGATCAGTACCAGATTGAGAATCCCTGAAGAGCTCTTTCTTGAGAGCAGAGCTATGGATGTGTGGAAACCAGTCCTCCATTGCCATTCATGGGGATAAAGCAGTTGCTGGTTTGCAGTGAGGCGGTTTGGAGTAGCACAAGGAAGGCAAGACCCCTGCTTCTATTCCCCTGCTACATGCAGATGTGCGGATTTGATTGCAGTGTTTGCAAATGTGGCTGGATATTAAACATTGAAAGGAAGTAGTTACTTTTACTGTGTCGTCTTCCAGTTTATCGGCACTGGGGTTGTTATATGGAAATGGAAGTTTCAATGTTCTGCTTTTGTTGTCTCTTTTAATATAATTTCAATGTATGACACTGAAACTTCCTTTTATCCAGCTGGGCATTTTCAAGCAATGTATTGATTCCTGCTATGAAAGCAGTGTTGGCTGATACTGGCTGGAAGCGATAGCTTTGAAGCGTGAGAGGAGGAGAGCCCCAGGAGATCTGCTTTACTGCCTACCTAGTAGCCAGAATAAGAGCTAATAGAATAGCTTGGATACCTCCTCTGTATTTCCATCGCCTCTTTTCTTCCTTGCATTTAGCTCTTCTTTTTGGGAAAGCACTCCTTTTTTTCCCTGCTTATAATCTCAATGCTGTGTATTGCAAAACTGTTGGTCTTAACAAGCTGCAAAATGGTTGACTCTGCTCCACATCCCAACAGAAGTGTGGCTGCAGCTGGATGCCTCTGCAGGCCAAAAGGGCAGGTCATGCTCACAGAGTTTATTTTGAGCGAGTGCCTGACTGCAATCTTTGGGGTCACAATGCATCGTGGAATGTTATCACTTCTTGTGAAAACTGGAATTACTTTTACTCTTTTGAGAATTTCTGTAGTAATGCAGACAACATGGCCATAATTGTGGTAAGTAATTGCATGCTTGCTATCCAGAATTCCCACATGGATTTCATTTGGTTGCAGGATCACTGGCTTTCCACTGCCAGTGGAAGGGCAAGCAGGAGGGAGCTGTGATGCTGATGGAAGTGGAGGTGGAAGCTCTTGATGTGCTTCATAGCACCTTGTTATTTAGAGCAGAGAAGCTGATTCCTGAGAATGTCCTGAAGGCAGTTAAGGAAAATTCTGCTCCTAAGTAAAAATAAGACATTCAAAACTCTTTCAGGGAGACCTTTCAATGGCCTTTCAATGTTTGAAGGGGAACTATACGAAGGAAAGGGAAAGACTGTTTTCGGGGTCTGCTGGGGTAGGACAAGGAGAAATAGTTTCAAGCTAAAAGAGGAGAGATGCAGGTTGGATATAAGGAAGAAGTTTTTTACACTAAAGGCAGTGAGGCAGTGGCACTGGTTGCCCAGAGAGGTCAGGGCACTGGGGATCTGAGCATTGATGGAGCTATGGGTGTCTCTTTTCATTGCCTTTAAAGATCCCTTCTAACTCAAACATTTCTGTGGTTCTAAGAGGAAAAGTAACCTGGAAAAGAAAAAAAACATCAAGGAAGAAGAAATAAGAAAATGAGATTGTGAGCCTCTTTTTAGTTAGGGGTGAACTGTGTAAATCTGGCATTTCTGGAGGGACCAGATCAAAATATCCGAATCAAAAAATGAGATCCAGAGTAATGATTTGGCAGGAAAACAATTTCCCAGAGTGATGATCTACAGTCCAGAATGATCCTTGAGAGTGGCTGCTCTCTTGGCCACTTGGTCGACACCTGTGAGAGCGGCCACTTGACCACTAGGCAATAACAGAGAGCCTAAGGAAAGAGTGAGGCTGAATGATGAAGGTCACTGAGTTGAGCAGGTACGGCAGAAAGGTGCCAGCACTGTGTCAGTTGGTGAGAGCCAGGGCACAAAGGGAAGAACTCAAAGTAATGCCATCCATAACTCATTCTGTGTTTCGCCAGGGAGTAGTTTTTTAGACAAAGGGAATAATGACAGCAATGCTGGCTCAAATACTTGTTTCAAAGGAAAAGGTGACAGTATTTGAATAGATCAGTGGTGTTTTAACTTGCACACAAATGGGATATCTATTAAATTTCAGCTGAATGCTCGTGAAGGAGCCATTGTGCTTCCAGAGACATCTGAAAAGATTCCAAAAGAATAAACATAAAAAATAAGTTAAAATTTCAGGTTGTAAAACAGAAGAGCTATCCCCAGGGTAGGAAGAAGTATGCATTAGTGGCCAAGGCAGAAAGCTGTAATGTAAAAGATTGCAAGCAAAAGAGTATCTGTTACAAGGTTCTATATGCATCAGAGGTGTTGCTCTTGATGAACATGAGTGCATATGGTAATGCAGTGGGTGTGAGAGCAGCCAAGGGAGAAACTGAGCATGTCTTCAAAGGTAACTAAGTTCTCTGATTACAGAAGCAGTTTAATTACCTGGCCATTAATGTCCGTGGTAACTTCCCCTTCTAAACCAGACAGGTCTGTGCACTCCCTGCTTGCATGTGGCATAATGAAGAGAATGAGGTTGTCCTTTCAACACAGCAAGTATGGGAGAGAAGAAGAGGGAACCTGTGGCCCCTATGGACTGAAAGGAGAATTAGATATATGTGTGTGTGTGTGTGTGTGTGTGTGTGTGTGTGTGTGTGTGTAATGATTTGTGTGTGTATATAAAGGAAACATTTTCTAAAACCAGCAGAAAAAGGCGTGTAGGATTATATGCAGCAGGAAACAAACAATTTTTTGGTTAGAAGGCATATGGCAAATGCCCATAGAAATGTTCATCACAATTTGGAGCACTTCTGTCAGCAAACAAAAGCTTCCTTTTATTTTTGTCAGCAATGTGGATTATTATTGGCAACCTGAAGGGTCAGAATAAGACTCTGCATATAGTCTGTTAGTGAGCAGTGTCCCAGAAGGCAAACTGCAACTCTACAGCTGAGCTGAGCTTGAGGTTGAAGTTAAACACACTTTTGCTTAAAGCTACCACTACATCCTCAATGGTGAGTCCTTGTTGCTGGGAAACGTGTTTATCGTCTTAGAAATCAGCAAAGAAATACTAGAGAAGTTTAAAATATTCTATGAAAACCTCCAATGAACAGTAGGATTGAGGAGAGTCTTCCAAAGTGCTGCGGGGACGTCATTGAAGGCTGTGTCCATATGTCTGGGTGCTCCTGCTCCATTAGCAAATGTGAATACCATCCTGCATAAGGACAGCTTAATAGCAAGCAGTTCATCCATCGGTCATTTGGTAACGATGATTTGCCTTTGGGCCTGGCAGTGGGAGCTGCCCTGCTGTGCTGATTGCTTCTCTCTCAGCACTGAGCACGCCAAGTACCTGCAGCCCTGAAGTAGTAATGCATTCTGAAACATGAACTAGGTTTTGCTTTGCCTCCTGCCTGTGGAAGGTGCCAGAACTTTGCTCCCCGCAGAAGCGCTGATGAACCATTGCTATGCGAGATAATTTCCAGAGCAGCCTTTCTGCAGAAATGAGCCTGCAAAAGCAGGGACGCGGATCTGCTGCTGGCTGCCTCCGGTCTTCTAATCGATCTCCCCTGTCCAAGTAAACAAAAGGAGCAGCCTGACACAGGCAGGTGAGGGCAGCGCTGTGAATATCCTGACAAAAAGTGAAATGACTGCAGCGCTATCTCTCTTTGTCAAAGGGGTAAGTGGTGTTAAGCAGGCGCTAAAAAGCAGGCTACTGCCACGGCTGTAGCAGCGTTGAACTAAAGGGCTTTGTTAACTGTCTTTGGAAAAGAAAAAAACAACACAGTGTGCATTTGAATGCAACCTCCTTGAGCCTGGAAATAGCAAGCTAGAAATGACAAGGTTGCTATTACATATCATACAAGGCAAAGGATACAAGGCAAATGAATCGAAAAGGATTAGGATTTCATGGAGCTCGAAAGAGTATCGAGAGTTGATTCCTGAAACAAAAGTGAATTGGGAGAGAGATGAAGCCACCCACCCACATATGCTGCTCTGTAAGTCAGCCTTTAAGTGATGCAAGGTAGGAGGAGACTTGCCAGCAGAAATCATGGCTAAGAACTTTTTCATTCCAGGATGTATCACAAAAAGAGATGTGAGGCAGGGCCAAAACTAGGAGCAGTCTTAAAAGTTACGGGAATCTTTTTTGGTCATCTGAACTGGTTCCTGCACCTTGAAACTGTCCAAAACAGAGCCGATAGCATTGCTTTCTGTGGATGCTCCCCTCTACTAAAATCATCCCTTGGCCAAGCAAAGTTTTCATGTTTCACCTTGATGACTGGAATGGAGGGAATATTCAGTACATTAAAAATCTGTTACTGATTGGATCTTGCAGTAGGTACTTCGTTACCCAAAGCGTGGTGTGACTGAGCTCTGTTCTGACTTTCCCAAAGGTGTAATCCTGCTAAAGGAATAGAGCAAATGAACCAGCACTTTACCTTCAAAGCAGCTTACAGCAGCCATAGCCAGTCACTGATGTGCCAAGAGCTGTTTTGCTATCTCACCCTAATGTAACAGTGTTTTTGTTACTTTGCTTTGTTCTTTCGCTGTTGGAAACACTCTTTATGTTTCAGGATCTTGGGACTCTAGTCTTACCTTCCTCTCTCCCCTCTCCTCCCAGTGTCTATCAACTTGTTGTCAAGGAGGAGAAGCTGCAGAAGGCTCGCAGAGCTGCAGACATCATTGAATGCTTCTCCATCCCAGTGAGCTACAAGAACGCCTCCAGCCTTGACTCACCTCACTACTTTGCAGCTGAGCTGAAGCCCATCAACCTGCCCGTCACACAGCCCTTCACCGTGGGCGACAACAAGACCTACAATGGCTACTGGAATGCTCCTCTTTCTCCCCTGAAAAGCTACAGCATATACTTTCAGGCTCTTAGCAAGGCAAACGGCGTAAGTGCAGAGAATATTGTCTGTATCTGTACACACGACAACCTCCAGCCTCCCTGTCTTTCTCCTTCCTTCTCCATCAGATGCCAGTTTAATTGCCGATTATCACTTTCTTGCAGAAATTTGAGGGAAGTTATACATGCCACTACTTGTCCTTCACTCAACTTTCTCTGCAGATGCAATGGAAAGCCTGTAGGAGTGTCAAGTGATGGAAAGGGCATATGTTGGCACATGATGTATGAAGTGGATTGTTTATGATCTTTTTCCTTGCATTAATGTCAGAGTAGAGGCTGTTGTCCTTTTAAGCTGTAGCTGCTACATCCTTGCAGTCGTCAGTTCACAGTGATTTTAGAGGAGAGATGAGATGAGAACTACCAAAAGGTATTAAATTGGATTACTTTGTAGCCTCCTTTTGGTCATGCCGTAGTTTAGCAGTTATTGTTGAGATTTTCACCTTGAACAAAATGTAAGTTTTACCGTAAAGGGAACTTTGTGCCTGTCTTTCTTACTCCTTTTGGGTATCGTAGACTTTATTTTTAACGTATAGTTATTTTGTAATATTAAGTGTGTGATATTAAGACTGCATGGGAAACATAGTCCGCCCCTTTTTGAGAGTCAAATGTCACACACATCATGCCCAACACATCCATTCATAGGAAACTGAAGGCCTCTTTTCCCTCATAAATTCTTCTGGAAAGTGGTTTGTGACCTATGACCTCATGCTGCAGATGTGTTCAGCTAACAGCATGCAGGCCAGATCCAATCTAAGCAGTCATTCAGCTGCATCCCCTCTGGCTCCCCCAGTAGCTTTTGCTTATCACAGACATGTTACAGGTTACCACTCCAGCCTCCTGAGGAGACTTATAGCATTAATACACATTGAAGAAGTTGGGTAGACAGGGGTGTTTTTAGTACATTTACCAATGCTTTCCTGAATCCAACTTTTACATGGGTAAGCTCTCTAATACATCACCTCTGAAAGAACAAAATTAGAAAAATCTATCAAAGATGAATGGTAAAGGCTTCGGTCTCCACTTGGGATAGTGACTTTGATACCCAAATCACAGGCATGCATCACAGAGGACTGTGCGTCCTTTAACAGGCTGGCAATGCCAGTGAAGGTTCTCAACATGTCATGCTGTTTTACTGCCTTCATTTATCACCATTCTGCAGAGTATCAGCTGTGTGGCTGACAAGCACAAATCTCTTCGGTACCGTGCTGCTTTTCACCTTGGTTTCCCTTCTAGTTGGTACAGTTTCCATTCAGCACTCATCAATTAATTCAATTTTAGATTTGCTTCTACGAAGGAAATTGTGAAATATATGTGTCTGTCTCTGTGTTTCTAGTTAGCTCCCCCTTATGTGATAGTTAATTGCTAGCGAATGGATCCCTGAGGATGAAAAAAACTTTTATTTGCTCAAGTACAATGTGCCATAACTGGGTAATAAGAATGGAAATGTAGGCTTGCCTTGGCATTCTGGAGTGAGGCAGCAGTAATGTGCAGCTCCTGCTTTTTCTAGAATTCTGTAGCTGACAGGTTGCTCCACACTCAAAAAAGTCGGTAATACTTGGGCTGCTCAGATAGGAAACTGAAAGACCTTTCAGGAAGAAGTAATGCAAAAGGTCTGTATGCAGCTTGTGAAGGCATGAGAAGCATCAAGTTCACGTCTGAGCAAGCAAATGCCTCTTGTGTTAATAATTTACATCAGTACATCATATGGTGATGTATCCTCAAAGTGCAGTGCTGCTGGAAAAAGACATAGGTGAATTTTCCAAGAGCAGAATATGGATATTAAGTGAGTAGCTGTGGAACTTGTTTTGCCCTGATAGAATCCTTGAGGCGCTCATTTAAAATGTTAGGATCTGATTTGCGTCTGATGTTTTGCAGCTGTAAATGTTTTCTTTCATACCCAGAACTGTTTGCAAGTATAATTTGTTTTTAAGAGTTCTGGGTGTTCACTTTTATCAACAGCCTGAGGCAGTTTGGTGGTCTTCATAAAGCCTACCAAAAATTATGGCTGCAGGAAGGCATTTTTAGATAACGCACATCTGCAAAATATCTGAGACAGTAACAATTTAGCACAGTTAAAATCCAGCCTTATGTTCTTTTGCACATGAAAAGCTTAACAGAGCATCGCAGCTCATTTTTTAATTAGGATATTCTATAGCTTCATTAATCACTGACAGATCTGGAACGATGAAACTTCTCTTGCACACCTGGAACTTGCAATGAGAAGCCGTCGTGCAGTGAACCGTAACATCTTCCTTTGGAAATGGAGGGCTCCAGGGGGAGCTTAATTTGAGGAAACATTCTGTGTTTGGTCAAAAAGCTTGATTAGGAGGAGATGGTGGTGGTAGAGGAATTCTGCATTGTTATTTTACATCTCCTCTGTGTGGAAGGTTGTGCTCATTTGGCGTTCTTGTCGGCTCTGTAACCATTAGCCATGATTGTTGCATTGAAAGGGACATAATTAACAGCTGGATGCAAAACAAGTGCAGCAAATTGCTGCAAAATCAGATCTCGAGCTTTGCTGCCTTCTTGCGTGCAGTGTGGTGCTTGTTTTTTGACAGCTGTCGCTCTCTGAGTTCTGTGGGCAGTTGTGTGAAGCTTGGGCAGCCTGTTGCTGCTTCCAGACAAGGGTCTGAACAGAACAGAACATTTTGTTGTGCAAAACACTTCCAAACTGTGCGGGTTTTCCACCTAGGAACAATTGAAAGCCAGATGCTGAACTGGAAAGTGTCAAAGTTCAAAAGGGGTTGGGGGGAGGGGGGGAAGAGAGAAAAAGAAAACAAAAACTCTAGGCTTTATAACAGGGCAGTTGAGAAACACAATTAGCTACTGATCATTTGTTAGGGACAGTTAGTGCAAGAACTGACACAGAGGGAAGAGCAGACAACTGGCTTTGCTGTGTTCTGGCAGGAGCTGTGTGCCTGCCATCCCAGCCTGGTAGCTAAGTGATGTTTGCTGGTTGTCCTGGTGCCACCTGCTACAGATGGCTGCTGGCAGAGCACGATGCTTTCCCAGCCTGTAAAACCACCCTGAGCTCAGCCTCTCTGATGCACAGCCCTGTGGTGCTTCTTCTGAAAGGTGCGGCCTGGGCGGCGATATTATGCAGAATTAATAATCAGAGTTAAACGTCACAGATTTTGCTGTCCCCAGGTTCTTTGTCTGAGCCATTGATGGTGTTGGTGCTCAGTTAGAGATCCAGCAAACACGTTCAGGTGGGGAGAATTCCCTGGCTCCTGGGGTGCTGCCTGAACTTCTGAGCAGCTCAGGAAACCGAGCTTCCTAAAAATCTTTCCTGTAGCTCCGGTGCTTTACGTCATTGAGTTAAAATGAAATCTGTATTGGCACAGTTGCAATCAATAACCCTTGGCCATTTTTCCTCTAAATGGGAGGTGAGGCAGGAGGCTTTGTAGCACAGCTGGAGATGATGTGGGGGATGCTGCCAGCTGCTCCTGCAGCCTGGTGGTCCAACAGGTGAATGATGTGTTCAGGCCAGCTTTGTGAAAAGTGGCAGCACAGGAATCAATGAGAATATTATTTTTGAAGGAATGATGGACTCTACAGAGTTTCTCATTGATTTTTTTTCCACTCTAATGACTTGTACTACATGCACAATCGGGCAGCTTATCATTATCAGGGGATTTCAGGCCGGATTCCTGGTTGCTAACAGGTCTACTCACATACTTAAGAAAGATTTTGGAGGCATGGGCAGAGCTGCCAGTAGGAAGATGACCTTCATCCTTGTGGAGATGGCTCACAAAGAGCCAGTGAGGTACTTCAGCGCAAGGTCTATTCTGAAAACCAGTGTGCTACTAAATCTGCCTGCATTGGTTTTGCAAACAGACAGCTGTGAGGACTCAGTGATTTCAACTGTACCATTTTGTCCAGTGATGTTTACTGCCTCTTACTGTCATGCTGGAGCTCCTGGAGCAGCAGTAAAGCAGCTGTGGATACACTTCACTCTTTGTAAGTCCTTGTTTCCACATCTGTCTGGCCTTCCTGAGCCAGAAGACACGAAGCTGAGTGATGGTAGTCTTATTCATTGTATGAATAAGTTCGTCTAGTCATCCTTGAGTTTGGGAGATGCGGATACTGAATAAACTAAATATCCTTGAAATCACTTTCTGTTGTAAATAATAAAAGCCCAAACCACTTTGTTAAAGCTCACTTCTCCAGATAACACAGATACTAAAAATAACTGATAATTGGAAAGTCAATACGGGGTTTAGCTGAGCCTCCTGGAGAACTAGCAGTTTCCTTCTGGCAGTAGAAATTATAGGGGAGTCCATAGACTGTGCACACTCTGTGCATGTGATTAATTTTTAAGGACAGCAAACAATTGGTCTCAGTGGAATAAGAAAGAGACTTATGGGAAAAACTGAAGAACAACAATGGAAAGTTCAGAGGATGGAAGGGCAGTGCCTGTCCCATGGGATCAAGCTGCCTACAAGCATGCTCGATACAGGCTTGGGACATGGAGTGCTGTGGCTGAGGCCAAGTAGGAGGTTGGTAATTACCTGTCTGTGCAGCAGCAGGAGTTAAAACTGCCTGTCCCCAGGTGGGGCTGTCTGGAGACCTGTGGCAGGGTGGCACCTGAAGGCAACAGGTATGTGCAGGTGCTGGCAGTGACTGCTTCAGCCAAGGAATGCACTGTTGAGCTAATGCAGGGTCATAATCAGAGCCAAGGAAAGGGAAAGAAAAAAAAAATGGGTGTGAAAACAGATGGATGAAAAAGCTCTGCTTATTTTATTGTTCATAGTCTGTAAACAGCAAGCTGTCATTTTAAAATAAAAGGAAAAAAATCATTTGGCCTTTTAGGTTGTGAAGATGCAGCTGTCACATAAACATATGTCCTTCTGCCCTCATAGATCTTTCCTGCAGAAAGTTGTTCCCATCCAAGTACTAAAACAAAGGCAGAACTTGTCTTGTTATCATCCTGTGCACTTCAGTGAAATGCATATTTTGGAGTCTAAATAATTAGTAGATGGCATCAGCTCTCCTTCTTTGAAAAGGAAAGAAACAAACTATATTGAAAAGAATGAGAATTCAGTGTGATGCCAGAATAAGCTCCTGGCATGTGGATGTGGGTCTGAAATGAAACAGTTGTCCAGTTCCAGGATCTAGGTTAAAACATCCCTACGTTGTTCCCTTACTGCTTACACATATCCTGTCTGTGATAGCATAGCCTGGCAGTGCCCAGAGCACAAAGCAGCAGTGGTTCTGGGATCTTACACTGGGTTATTTGTGTGCCTGCAGCCGTAGCACAAAGCAAGCATCTTACTGGAGCTGGTGGGAGCAGGGTCTTGGCTGTGGTTGGGTTTGGGAAAGTTCTGTGATGGGATTGAATGGGATTAGTTTATCAGAGTACTTGAAAGAGCCTATGGATACAATCAGGAGACTGAAATTTAGGAAACTATTTTTATAAAAGTTTTTTGCTCTTCCTTTTTTTCATTATTTTTCTTGTAATGCCTTCAAGCCATCTGTGTATATTATCTATTCCTCTTTTGCCATTGGTTAAGCAGAAGCATCTTTACTCTGGTGAACACCTCATCTAAATCCAGGAGAGTTTTTCCAGAGAGCAGATGTGATTATAGGCAAATGGTTTCACTGTTTTGAGAAAAAAAAATTGTTCTGTGTATTGACAAAGGAGTTCAGACAAACAGTTCTCAGTATTAATCAAAGAAAAATACGGTAAGTGGAAGGAGGTCTCATTTTTTGTGAGACGTGAAAGAGAGGAGCAGTGGGTTGATCAATGAGGTGCTCAATGGAAATCAAAGCAATAATCAGCCCTCATCAGGAGTACGGACTGAGAACAGACTTCAGGCTCCAACATCTCTAGTAGCTGATGCCTGGTGGCTGTGCAGGTTTCTTTTATGTTTTTCTCCTTAGAAGACACCATTTGAAATTAAGTCCAGATGTCTTGTTCCTCTGGTGATTGATTGCCCTTGCTTTTGGCAGTGCCTGATCACTGTCTTCTAATAACTACAATTGTCTGGGCTAAATAAGTAGATGTAAATGCAAACAGAACACACCGCATCCTGTCTTCTCAAATTACCCCGTGGGAGGGCAACGTGCAGGAATACGCACATGCTCAAATGAGATCAATTACAGCATTGTTAACAAGGTTTTGGGTTTTGTTTTGTCACCTCTTCTCAGCACTGACTAATTTCTCCAGCCTTTTGTTGCACTTTGAAGCTAGCAGAAAGCAACAGACGCACAAGAAAATTTTCCACAAGCATGTGCAATGTGTGCCAGTGTCCACCTACTTTTAGCCTGCAGCAGTACTATCTTGATATCAATTATATTTCATTCGTCATTGCTGATTTTCCAGGCCATCTTTGCATAGATTGTGAAGTGCATCAGATGTCTTCTGACTCCCTGCATTATCTGCTGAGGCTGTGCTCTGAAAATAAGGCTATGTTTTTCCTGCTTTATATAACATCACTAGTAATAGAGATTGTTGGTTTCCAGAATAGCTGGCAATTCAGGCTGATTATACAGGAGGCAGTGATGGCTGTGCAGCAGTGCTCTGCAGCTCTGTTGGCTTTGCAGTGCCAGCAGTTGTACAAGATGTGCAGAGCTGCTCTGTGAGCGAGAGAAGTTTGTGAACCAAAGAGAGATACCTTGGGTTTACTGGAATAAGGAATAGTTTAGTCAATGAGTGCATGATAAGGGTGCAGGGGGAACTGGTGCTGCATTTCCCCGTGCAATGTCTGCAGTTTTCCCCTTCCTGTTTGCAGTTGAGGGTTGGTTGCAGATTTTCTTTACAGCCTCTGTTGAACTGCTTGAGGATGGAGCAAGGTGCTCAGCAGTGTATTTGTTGTTTCCAGAGCCAGGCAGCATCCATATTAATGTGGCATTATCACACGCAGTAATTTATGCAGTATTCATTACACCTGAGACATGCACAAGAGCATGTAAAGTCATAAAGTGCTAAGAACACCCTGCAGCAGATTACTGCCTGACAAAGTTTTTTAACCAAAGGAACACAGAAGATTTGGATGATGATCACGCATCGTGCAGAAGCAACCCCTGCCAGTAAGAGCTGCAGAATGAAAACGTGGGGATACCAGAAAGGGTTTGTTTTCAGTGGAAGTGGCCTGAGGAGGATGCCTTTAGCTAAGCCAAATAACACAATGCTGCTGCTCAGCTCCAAACTCCTGTTTACACAGATCTGGGGACTCTGAGGTGCACTGAACAAAAGCGTTGGGTTTTATCCCAGCTCTGCAATGAAAAGCCGTGGTGCTCAGGGTTGTGTTTGAATGGCTCATTTGGCAGAAGTAGCCATACAACATGCTGTTCTGCTTCACATACATATCAGAGGGCTGAAATATTCAAATGACTGCTTAGGTGTCTGTTTGCCATGTGTTTAAATAAATACCCAATTTGCAAAATCTGTGGTAATGGTGCGTGAAAATTGTATGTACAGTTGCATGTACTTTTGACCCAATGCTTGTCTGCCTACTACAGATCAGGCCATTTAGCTGGTAAATTCTATTAGTAAATCAGGCCATTACGTGGTGCCCATTCCTCACATTGAGTATGGAAAAACATCCAACTTCCCAGCAGTCAGGCAAGCAGCTGTATGCAAACCCATTAGTATGGAGTGTTCTATGCCATTCAAACGGTTGGTGGTACTTTCAGTGATGAAGTGTAAGAAAAATGCTTATGTGTTTTAGTGACTCTTGATGAGAAATATGTTTATTGCAGATAGGCCAATGACACACCTTGATGTTTTCTTTTTCTCTTTTTTTTTTTTTTTTTTTTTTTTGGTTGATTTTCAGGAAACAAAAATCAACTGCGTCCGGCTGGCGACTAAAGGTATGTGGGTTTCCTTTCCCTGCAAAGCACAGCACCAGTACTATGAAAGCTGCAGTGGTGACACAACAAGATTACAGCTACTACTCAGGGAAGAAGCTTCTTTTCAAAAAGTTTTATATTTTAAGGAAAATATCGAAGGCAGAATGTCAGTTTCCAGAACCACTTCACTATATGCGTAGGCCCTGTTATTTCTCAAGACAGGGTCTCTCTCTCTTTGTGGTTCCTGTTTTCACTTGTTCTATCAACTGCTTTCCTGCCCTGAGGACTGCTCTTGTTATTGGCAGAATGTGATTGAAAAAGCTTCCTGCTAAGTTCATTCTCTCCATAACTACACAGTGCAGATAAGTTAAAGGAGATCTCAGGCAAACCTGACTTTTAAATGGGTTTTGAAAAACCTGACCTTCAACACGTTGGGGCACAGTTTCTACATCACACCATTTTCATGGTATGATGCAGTGAACTCATGGAGAATATTTCTTATTTTCATCGCATTAAGTTCAGAATAGACCTGACATCATCACGAGCAAACCCAATACAAATGATTCAGCAATACGTTAAGACACACTGCTTTGATCCCCAGGTTGTTTCACAAGATGTAGCTCTTGGGGAACCAACGGTGACAATGTCTGGGTTACTTCTTGGAGTTTAGAGTTGCTTTTAACAACTCTTCGAAGGACTTCGAAGTCACCCCAGAGGATACTTTGCCAGCAAAGGTGTCAGTAAAGCAATTTACTCCTAACACAAACCAAGTAGCTGTAAAAAGGCTTCCTCAACACGTATCTGGTCTCAAAATGAGTTGTAAGGAAATGCTAAGGTAATTGCTGTGGGCCATGCTGGAGGTAACTCTCCTTTTCTAACCCTCAGGAATGCATCCTGTGCCCTTGCTGCTTTGTTGTAACGTGGAATAACTCCATTACTGCCTATGGAGTCTTCCTGAAGTTGAAAAGAAATGGGTAGAAACCCATGGCTCTTTTTCTTTAAGAAGCATCACCCTGTTTTGTTTTGTTTTTCTTTTTTTCCCATTCTTTTTAGTCCTTTCTGTTTTGCAGCAGTAGCAGAAATTAATTCCTTCTAGGTAATTTTTCATGTGCGCTTCTGCTACAGCACTTACTGAGGAGTTGGGGGGATGAAAGAAGCCCCAACTAGCAGTTACTAAGTAGCAGCAGAGGACTCTTTTTGCCCTTATGTGAAGACTTCTCCAGAAGTGTTACTGTCAGCAGGGTGTGAGGTGCAGGTGCTGCACTGCCTGCAGCTGCCATCAGAGAGCTGGTGCTGCAGGCTGGCAGGGCTGTAAGCAGTTGTGTCACCACTGACAGCCAAGGATGAGCCATTTGTCCCCTCTCCCCTTCATCTGTGGCTCTGGTGGACCCTATATCCTCCCGTTGTTTCCTCTTTAAGTGTTCCTTGTAATATCTTCGTTTAATTCGTTGCTCTGGGTTGCAAACATTCTGTGTCTCAGTCTCCTGTCCGTTCCCCTGCAGTTTTCCTGGCCCATGGGTAGTGGTGTGACCATTGCAAATTTATCTTCCTTTGGCCTTCTGGTGGTAGAAAGATATAAAGAGCAGGAGTGGGTGAAGTTTGTGTGAAAAGATTCTCCTCTGGGTCTTCCCAGAGCGTGACTGGAGGGCTCTTCATCAGCTTGGAGAAATTAGATTGATTCATTTCTGGAGTCCTATAGTTTCTTCTACTTTAGTGGTTCCTATTTCTGGAGATAGTGGAGGAATGTGAGTTAGTTGTTGTTCTAACTAAAAATATATTTGCTCTGTGATTATTGTTTGAATAAAAACACCTGTATAGCTCAAAAAGTCCTATTCTTCTGTGTTCTCTTGATTTGCACTGCCTGATTTGAGTACTGCTGGAAAGACTCACATAAGTGTTTGACCCCGAGCTGCCTTCTGCAAATGGATTTAATTTTTGTTAACCTGTTGGGTCACCAAGAAGAGGTGACAGGCTGCCTTTACTCTGATGTTCTGAACTCCAGCTCCTTTTAAAAAGTGACCTTTTCCTAATACTAATTTGACAAGAGAAATCAGAGGGATGGGTAAAGCCTGGGGATGCTTAGAGCTTTTTGGTGATCTTATAGTTTAGGATTTTTCTTGATTGATGTGAATGGGAAAGGGAAAAAAAAAAAAAAAAAATTATGGTAGCACTAGTGTTTATTACTGTTTTGATGGATATTGCTTTTGATTTATGTCTTGTTTCTGTATACATGGAGTCTGGAAATCCTGTTTTTCTTCTTTTCTTTTTTTCCTTGTCCTTACTCTGTGATTTGCTGTTTTGTATTTCTCAATGCCTGACCATTGACAAGGACACTGGAATGTGGCTGTGGCTAGCTTCATGCCAATTTTGGCTTTTTAATTGTACAGTATTGGCTGCAGCACACAAGCAGTGTAGCACCACAAGTGAATTTACAGTCTTAATAGTTTAACGGTCCATTAACAGTCCATTGCTGGCACCTGTGATGTATGGGCAGCTGAACCAAAGCTAAACAGTGGTTCTGTGGTTTGGAAATTTTCCATAGTTGAAGATCTCTCTTTGTCGTAGGGCTGAATTCCATCCACATTAACTCCATGTGGACAGAAGGACTCAGCCACTCTACATCCATCTGAGCACCTGTAGAGGGGTTTCTTATCTGCCCCATCTCTGCTGGGGTGGAAATAGATGGAGACAGTAACAAATCTGTAATAATGTTGTGATGTGGCCAACAACTGACTGTTGGGATGTTCTGTCTGACCTATTGTGTCTACGTCGTCTTCTGTCTCCTCATTAGATCTTTAGTGGCATTGCCATGTATTTGTCTTTATTTGCATCGTTGTCTTTCTGAGGATAGAAAGAGCAAGGCTGCAGTGTGCCTCCAACAGAATGTTCTGAGCTGCTAGCAGGGATACCAGTGTGGTGTCCTCCATAACAAGCAAGGAGAATGAATGTCCTGGAGTTAAGCTGAAGTTAGCTAGGCTGATCTGAGCATTGACAGCTCTCAAGCTGCAGTTCGTACCAGAGAGAAAGTGCATTTTGTTTTGCAGATTGATGCAAAAAAAAGTGAATGCATACTGCTAATGCCAGAGAAAAAGTTCATTTCTGGCTATTGGTGTAATTTTGTTCCATTCCTGGATACATGACACTCCAGTAGCTCCGTTAATGTCAGTGAAATGAGTTCTGATTTACGCCAGTAGCAGGGAGATTAGAATTGAGGAATGTTTAAGCAAGGCAAGTGTTCTCTTCAAGTACCGGATTAACAAGGGCAGTAAACGGGAGTGTGGGAGTAATTAAGCAATAAAATGTGTTAGGCAGTGTGGTACTGGGGGATTATAGCACATCTTGGGTGTTGCTGCAAGGCACCTGCTCAGAAGCTGCGTAGCTCTAATTACTTGTCACTGCTTCAGCAGGCTGGGAGGCAATTTGTTTTGTATGTCCCATTGCCTGAAAACCAATAAAGTGAACTCAGATAACTCTTTTAAAAGTGTTCTAGTCCATTAAGAGTTTTGGACATTTCTCAGATTGCTCTCCTCCCCTTTTGTGTTGCTGAGACCTTCATTATGAAGTAGACTTCAGATAACCCCTTGTCATTTCAGCTTCCCTCCATTCAGAAGCTGCATCTCATCTGCCACGTGCACTTCTCTGCACGTTTCTCCTGCCTGCTGCTCCTGCTCAGGTTACCTTGGTCCTTTTGGTCCCAAGAGAGACCTTTGTCAACGGTTTGCCTCTCTGATGTTCATCTTTTGGCTGAAATGTCAGGGGTGGGTTTCAGCATCTCAGAACAGAAGGTCATGACTCCAAGTACAGCAGCCTTCAGAGCAGAGCTAGTAGATATCCACGTGGGCAAGTGCATCTGCTGAGCACATTTCCTTCCTTCTGGCACCTCAGTAGGGGGCTTGACTAATGTCCATGGGCCAACGGCAAGGACTTGGCACCAGCATTTGCTGAGGTCACGTTTTGCAATCCATCAGAAAGCAGTCTGCGTTTGTCCAGTCTGTGTAGCCATTCCCTCTTTTGCCAGCATGTTTCATATCCACATTATTAACCTTTTGTATCGACGTGTGTATTTATTTCCAGTTTTGTTGGTCTCAGATTTCCGACCATTCCCAGTCATAACCACCTCTCCTCGGATGGTCTGCTTCTCTTCTTAAGTTACTGAAGTAATGTCATCTTTCATAGCATTAGTTGCTTGGATGCATATCATAGCATTAGGCATTCTTTAAAAATAAGTTTATTATTCTGTTTATCAGCTCTCTGCCATACAGTTTTCACTCAGCCAGTTTGTTAATTTTGCCATTTGGTTTCCATGATGGCATTTGCTTTAATGTGTCCCATTCTTTCTGAAATAACTTGGTTGTTCTCCTTGTTTTAAAGCAACATATTTATATTGACACTTTATTAGAGAAAATTGCAACCTCTTACTAGAGAGAGCAATTACCTCTTGTATTCTTAAAGTGCATTAAATTATTTTCACGGTGTAATTGAAACCGAGGCAGAGGGCTCATTAATGCTTCCTTATCTCTTGATATTTATTTCTTCTTTTTCTAAAAAATGTGAGTTCTTGCAAATGAAAGAATGGAACTTTAATAACCATTACGAGGTACATTTTTATTTTTTTTTCCTTTTGTTTTTCTTGTGCATGCTGCCTGGAAATGATTTTGCTTGTTCTTAGCAGTGCTGGGTAGGCAACAGGCGACCACACGAAACCCACCCGGCCTCCTGAGCACAGGTGATTATCAGCTCAGGACCAGGAAGACTGCTGCCACTTCCAGAAGTCTGAGCAGCTTCATGACTTCTCTTTTTGTGTTTTGCTTGCATGGGAAAATGCTTTTACAGCTGTTCAAACTGCAATATAGAGGGGACTTTCACGTAGCAATTGCTTTGCACTGACGTAAAATGTACAGCTTAGCAGAGGGTTGTCTGGAGACCTAAGGAGCACTTTAATCTCCATATGAGCCTCTGAGCGTGACTGAAGAGGCCCATGGATTCCCTGTTGGCCCTCTGTAGAGGCTGAACACCCGAGC